AAAGTTTTTTTCCCTTTGGTTTTTATATCTGACAGTATGGAGAGGAGAGAGGAGTTTTTGAGCATGTATGATTAGCTTGATTCAGTGTTTTCTTAGAATAAGTTATTTTATATTCAGCTGAGTGATCCACGTTCTATTATTCCTTAAACTGGGCACCATGTTAGCTTTTTTTTAAAAAAAAATTATTTAAAAAATTTTTGTTGTTGGACACACATAGCAAATAATTTTTTTTTAGTTGGAATTTGAAAAATTCCATTAAGGATACAAAATGTGCTTAAATATTATAACATAATGTACTAGATTTATTTTCATCCAAAGTTTGGTTACCAAAGTCACTTAAAGGTCAAGACTTGATTACCAAAACTGCATTTACTCTTTTTCAAAGTTTAGTTGGAATGAGCCTTTTAACAAGGGATAATTTCAGAAACCTCCCGTGAGATTTTTTACTATTTCACTTAGTTCCCCTGATATTTTAAAAACTACACTTACATCCCTTGATTTGACACTTTGGTAACCAAACTTTAAAATAGAGTAAAAAATTTAATGAATACCCTAAAATGCCCTTATCTTATGAAGTTCAATTTGTTCTTCTCAACAAAAGAGTATCAAGTTTTTCATACGAATATTTGTTATTCAATAATCAACTATAACAATAAATCTTTTGCCATAATAGGGTATTTTTATGGTACTTTATTGGGAATATAAATTCTTTTTAAGATAAAGAAGAAAGTGCTATTTTGTTTCTTTTAAAGTTTATGGACTATTCTTTTAATAAAAATTTATGGACTAGTTTAGCAGCCGAACTATCATAATTTGGTAATGATTTTGGGTCATTTGTTTTTAATCATTGTTGACTTATCCTTGATTTTGATACCCAAAAAAAAAGAGCTACAAAAAAAATTGGAGGATATTAAACGTTATCAAAAAATATTAACTAATTTAACGTTTAATTTGGATAGATATTAGGGAAAATATTGAGTTCTGTTATACTTTTAATGAAATATAAGAGAAATGAATAAGAAGGAAAATGTTAAAAAAATTATAAAATCCATCATTTGCATAAACATGGCAACAAGAGAGTTTTATTAAAAATATTAAAATTAGTATTATCATTTTAAATGGACAAGGGAGGTAGGTGTAATTTTTGAAACCTTGGGGAAGCCAAGTGAAATTATTAGAAACCTCAAGGGGGGTTTTTGAAATTATCCCTTTTAAGTGTGTTTGGATTATAAAAAATTACATTTTATTTACACACATTGATTTGCTTGCATCATCAACACACTTTCCAATCACCTTTTTATCTCACATACATCATATTAAAAAAGTACTACAGTATTTTTTTCACAAAATTATCTCAAGTAATTTACAATCCAAATACAGGTTTTAGCCTAACGATTAAGGTTGAGACTTTAGGTTTAAAACTCTTGAGTTCAAATTTTCCTATTTTCTTGTTTAAAAAAAAAAAATTATCCTCTCCTTCTGGAAAAAGATTAGGGTAAAAAAAGAGAAAGAAATCATAAGATCAATTAGTCAAGAGGAGCCAAACGTTCTTCGCATGGTGACCTATTAGTTTAGTCGTTCAAGTGCTTAGAAGGAGCCGTGGTAGTACATAGACATTTGCAGATGATTTGCTTTTCACTTTTCATCATTGCACGGACAACTAAAAGCGACCACACTCTATTATTAGTAAAGGGCCACCACCGAAAGGGGAAAGACTTCGCGGTTGACGTTGACGGCGACGATATTGTCGAGAGGAAAAATCCATGAAGTTGCGGGGAGGCATGAAGTGGGGAGCCTTCCCTCATCCTCGATCACTCTTCCAAAAGCTCCCTCCGTCTCTACCCAGCTCCCCCTGCAACTGCTCGGTGGCCGTGGGGTGCCACTTCTATGTTTTTTTTTTTATTTGACTTTATTTATATATGTATAATATTGATAATAAATTTACTAAACATTCTTCTGAATTTTTAACCAAAAATTCAACTTGAACTACAATTTAAAATTATTTTGATCTTTGTGAATTCATTTCTTCATATTTAATTTTAGATAAAATCTAAATCAATTATCATTGTCGTTTTTAAAAACAACATGCCCTACGTAAAAAAAAAAAAAGTAATCTAATATTCAAAGAACATCCTTTTACCAAATGAATAAACCAGAATGATTATATTATTTTACCACAATTTCATATTACATAAATACATTCATATTATGTTATCTATGTTATATTCCACATATATATATATATATATATATATATATATATCATTTAAATTATTGGTAGGGTGGAGTGCGAGGTTTCATTCCCCATCCTTCGCTCCATTTAAAGTTGGGGGAGAAAAATGCCCCTTCTCTTCTCCTCCCCCACCCTTCCTTCTCAGCGCACCAATCCTTGTTGCCCTCATTGCTATCTCGAAAATTATTAGGTAAAATTAGAATTGAATTGTTTGGAAATCAATTTTCTAAAGAAAAATTGTTACGTTTTCTATTAACACATTTTTCAATCATTTTTTTACTTTACATATATTAAATCGCTACGGTAATTTTTCTACAAAAAATTCAGAAAAATACAATCCAAACAAATGGGTGATTATTTGTAAAGTAAATGCTAGTATTTGTGTCCCTAAAACTAAGTTTAACTGGCAGAGACATTAGTCAAGTAATGATCAATTAAAGGTTAGATTGAAAATCTTCTCAACCTCCCATTTCTCTCCTACCTTCTTCCTCTTTATAGGATTTAGTTTCTTCCTTTGAATTAAAAAAAGTACTAATATTTGTAAGGTATCCACTAATAGTCAAGGTTTCCTTACCTATTTTATGCCTAGTTCTTGGAAAAATATGATTCTAATCTTCCTTTTTTTTTTCTAATAATGCAGTTATTACTTTAGTTCAGACTCAAAACTTGACAGCTAACACCCTCACATCCAACGTTTCTTGTACATACCAGGTTCAACCCTTCAACTGTTACATAGATACATGTACATAACCATTTTGCTTTTTCCTTTTTGTTATTTTGACAAAAATATAGGTGCATGTCTGTGACTCTCTCTTAATTAGGCTATAAAAAATTTTGATGTAGTACCTCTACTTGTTTCTTCGTCTAATTAAATAATAGGCATTAAAGATTAAAAAAAAAAAGGAAAAGCAAGTAACACGGATACCAATTACTAGCAATGAAAAGGCTAAAAATAGCTAAATGAAGTACAATATTTCCTTCAATCTTAGGCCTCGGGTTTCAAACTGTTACCCCATAATTGTATCCATATTTCCTTGCTAAAACACTCATAGCGTCAATAGAGGCAATCAGAAAAATTAAAAAAATAAGAAAATAAAAAAGAAAAACCTTCATGGAAATTATTTTCTACTTTACAGACATTGCCACATTTTCTTGAAGTTTTACTTCAAAATTTATCAAATATCTATTAATTTTATTATTGTTGAATTTATTTTATGTTGGTTGTAGGAGAAGTAGAGTGCTTCGTTATAAGTGTGAGTGAAAGTCTCACCACTTGAGCTAGCTTTTGAAGTGGAAAAGCCCAATAACACTCAACAATCATCAATTGCAGTTTTCCTACTTGACAAGCACAGTTTCATTTGTCCCTATTCTCCTGATTAACAATCACAAAGCTTCACTTGTTGTAAATGAACAGTTAATAGCGAGAAAGTCTTTGGAAGATGCCTGACAAAAATACTTTTTGACCCCTTTTTCAATTCAAAAGAATGTTTGCTGTTTCAAAGATTGATTACTAGTTCCGGCTTCCTCATCTGTTACGTTTTTCATAGCGTAATGGAAATGAAGGCTTCTTTTGATCACCAATTCACAACTAAACTGGAAACACGAATCAATTGAATTCGTGTCGGCTCTGGGATGTCCATTCATCCCAATAATGTTTATGGGATTGGATTGCAATCACGCTGGGTACTGCAACCTTTTGGAGCGTTATCATGTCCTTTTAATGGTTGAGGACTATGGTTACAATTCACAAGAAATATTACCGAACTCTGAATAACACGTCTCTATTGTGAAAGCAGAAAGTCCTTTACCGCTTGCCAAGCACTAGATTGTGTTGCCCGCTTTGATTTCGTAATGTGATTCCTAAAACGCAGGCCAGACGTGTACCTTGAATCAGGAGGGGATCTAAAACTACTTGAGAACTGAACAAACAAAACCTAGTCTAGTCTTGTTGATGCCTGCTTCAATTTTCCCATCTCGATTATTTTCTGATATTTCACTGCAGAAGTCAGACCACATAACTAAGGTCGAGTATGACATCATTATTGTACCTTGAAATGGTGCAAATTTGCAGTCTAAGTAAAATTAATTAGTCAAAGAATAAGCAGTGTCCTTTGCAAGAGGACCTACTGGTTCAGTCGTTCAAGTGAATACTTAGAAGCTGCTGTGGTAATACATAAATGTTTCAGATGATGTTCTTGGTAGGGCCTAAGCAGTTATCTGTATTCATGCTTGTCTTACATCGATGCAATTTTAGTACTTAATGTTTTTCCTTCTTGACAATCGACAATCTTTGCACTACCCCTAAACTAACCAATACAAGAGAAGATCTTGGGCGTAATCAGGGGGAGAGAAACACACCTACAGACTAGAAGAATGTACCACACTCTTTGAATTTTACCCTTAATGCAAGGGTATGAGTTGGTTGCGTGTAATTTTTATCTAAGGTGGGAAAAATGAGTGGATTCCTTCGCGATTAAGGATTGGGATCAGTTCATGCAGAGGGAAAAGACGTGCAAAATTAATCGACTGACTCCTTGGGCTCTAGTATTTGCTTTCAAAAGTCTTCACTTTCGCGTAAACGAATGGCAGACAGAAGCCGGCATAGTTTTGTCAAGTTTTGACCGGCTGTCGTATTCAATATCTGATGTAAAATCACATTGTATATTGTTGTATTTAATATAGGTGTAATACGTTATTTATATACACAACCATTTTTTCCAAGTATTAACAACATAATACATTACATTGTATAGCAAATAATATGACAAATATAATAAATGTTAAAATTTGCATAAAAAGACTACCGTGTCTGTCCCAATTTCACTAACATCTATTGCACTTAGCAGAGGACTAGTAAAAAAAATATATCCTATATATAGGGGAGAATACTTGGTCATTGAAGGTGTCCGTATCCGTTTTACGGTCTGCGACTAATCCTGTTCGAGCCACGTCGGGCCCTTTGTAGGGGGAATCTCTCCCAATGTTGTTTTTTTCATTCCCATGAGTTTCAAACCCGAAACCTCATGGTTAAGGGATGCAAGCCCCTCCCACTTGCACCCAAAACAGTTTTGTTGGTAATCAAGGAATAATCACAAAAAACTGTATCACTGCTCCAGTTACAATCAAGTTAAAAAAAAAAATCATCTATAATGGAAATTTGGTGCTGTTGAACAAGGCTTCAATCAGCACTTGTTTTTACAACATCACCCCTCTTACAGCGGCAATTTTGTGGCTACCTGAGAAATATTGATAAACAACAGGATATTAACGCAAGTACAATTTTTGTGGCTACCTGATTATTTTGCAGTTCTACTTCCTTCCAACTTATTGTGGCTCTCAATATGAAATTTAGAATTTAAACATTTGCAAACATATATACCCTATAACTTTATCTAGAAAGCCTCTTCAGAGAAGGGGAAAACAAGACAACTTTCAACAGCAGGAAATGAAAAAAAGAAAAGAACATAGAGATCAACTCATTCACAGAATCACAGAATACATTAATAAAGACACTAAACTTAGAAATGAACTAGATTATATCAATGATTATAAGAAAAGGGTGCAGTTAGCAATGCGTCTTCATCGGAAAGATAGTCGGCAAAGGAAAGCTTGAGCCTCTCCAGAAAAAGGGGAAGACGGAGAACATTCCACAGCATAAAATGAAAAAATAAATTTATAATGACATTTGAACTCAAAAATAAATAAGAGGAAAGAAAGAGAGAGAATAAAGTACTTAAATCCATTTGCCCATCGGAAAACCTCAAAACAAGAAAAGAAAAAGAAAAAAAATTATATGTAGTAAATCACGTAAATTAATTGAAGAAAGGGTGTTGGTAGTTCTGCACCGTAACATCGAAATAGCTAATATTGATTCCTTCGCAATAGAAAATCGACGCTAGTGGAGAAGTAGATCATATTTTGGAAAATTTCAAAGAAAGCGGATACTTGTAAGACAAGACTAGAGGTAAGGGAGGAATCACATACATGAGAACCAATCATGATTTTGATCAAATAGGCAGCCTTCAACACCCAGTTCGAACTTCATCACCATGCACTAAAAAGTGGGTCAAGGGCATCTTTTGGGTAAGAATTGTCCCACTCTAATGATTCCCACCATTCTTTTTCTCCTCTGATCTCTAGAGTGCTGGGTGGAGATGGTGGTCCGTCGATGGTGGAAAGAAACCAGGGCAGCCTCTTTAAATTTGGACAATCTGCTATACTAATGGACCAGATTGATTCGCAGATCATGGCTGCCTTGAAAATGTTCTTTAGTTGAGGTAGCCTAGTCAGACGCAACCACCACAATTTCGGAAGGATGACATTGGCGGTGGCTCCTTCACTTGAAGTCAATTGGATGCCTTCTCCTCCTCCTTATCCTACTCCATTGCCATCTACTGCTATCTCCTCCAGTCCTTCACAATCATTAACTTCTAATATTTCAAGATTTTGAAGGTTCTGCAGCGGCTGCACTGTGAATAGCTGCTTCATGTTGTGACATCCAGAAATCCACAATTTTCTAAGGGAAGAAAAGGTGCCAGCTGGAAGCAAATATGGTTCTGATTCTCCGTCGATGGTGGAAAGAAACAAAGGCAGCCTCTTTAAATTTCGACAATTTGCTATATTATTGGACCGGATTGTTTCGCAGATCATGGCTGCCTTGCAAATGTTCTTCAGTTGCGGCAGCCCCCTCAGATGCAACTTCCTTAAATTTGGAAGGACGACAGTGGCGGTGGCTTCACTTGAAGTCAATTGGATGCCTTCTCCTCCTCCTTGTCCTACTCCATTGCCATCTGCTGCTATCTCCTCCAGTCCTTCACAATCATTAACTTCTAATATTTCAAGATTTTGAAGGTTCTGCAGCAGCTGCACTGTGAATAGCTGCTTCATGTTGTGACATCCAGAAATCCACAATTCTCTAAGGGAAGAAAAGGTGCCAGCTGGAAGCAAATATGGTTCTGATTCTCCGTCGATGGTGGAAAGAAACAAAGGCAGCCTCTTTAAATTTCGACAATTTGCTATATTATTGGACCGGATTGATTCGCAGATCATGGCTGCCTTGCAAATGTTCTTCAGTTGCGGCAGCCCCCTCAGATGCAACTTCCTTAAATTTGGAAGGACGACAGTGGCGGTGGCTTCACTTGAAGTCAATTGGATGCCTTCTCCTCCTCCTTGTCCTACTCCACTGCCATCTGCTGCTATCTCCTCCAGTCCTTCACAATCTTCAACTCTTAATTCTTCAAGATTTTGAAGGTTCTGCAGCAACTGCATTGTGAATAGCTGCTTCATGCTGTGACATCCATAAATCCACAATTCTCTAAGGGAAGAAAAGGTGCCAGCTGGGAGCAAATATGATGGTTCTGATTCTCCGTAAAAAAAGACCAACCAGATTTGGCAACCTGGAAAGATGTAGCTCTTCAAGACCATGGAGTGGACTAAAAGACGAGACTTCCAACTGATCACGTGGAGAAGCAGAGGACAATTGCCAGAGGAACTCTATTTCAACCAATTCCTTGATTTCCAATTCAGTTAAGTGGCTTAAATTTATAAAATTCTTAAAAACATCTGACAAGCACCTAATGCCCATGCCCTCACAATCCTCGATTATCAGACATTTCATATCATCTGGCAGATAGTTCGATCCTCTACCAAGCTTACACTGATGGAAATGCAGTTGTTTCTCCCGGAACCCCCTCACTTCATTAACAAAACTCAGATCCTCAGTTAAGATGTCATTGATATAAACATTATTATAGTGTTTTGGCCACCGAATAATTTTATAGAAGTCCGTAAAAGACAAACATCCTTCAAAACTTTCTAATTGGTTCAACACTTCTGGATCATTAACTTGCACCCCACCATAGGATGGCAAGAATAACAGTTGAAGACAGTGAAATTGGGAAAATGTCCCTTTTGGTATTATCTTTCGACTTACAGTTAGACACTTATCCAAGTTAAACCTTTCGAGGTTGACCAGTGACTCCCAGCCTTCAGGTAAATCCTCAATCTCAGTTCCGGATAGATCCAATTCCCTCAATTGCTTGAGCTTTCCCAGTGGTGGCACGGATCGGAGGTGTATACAATCCTTCAAGTTGAGCCTTTCGAGATTAACCAATGACTCCAATTCTTGAGGCAAATCCAGAATCTGAGTGGAGGATAGGTCCAAATCCCTCATTTGCTTGAGCTTTCCCAATGGTGGCACAGATCGTACGCCCCAACAACCCCCCAAAATCAAAGCAGTGAGATCCACCAAGTTTGAAACAGAATTAGGCAAGTCTGTTATACCTCCGCACCGAGATAGATTCAAAACTTTAAGTCCACACATGTGTTGAAAGAATGAATCTGGGATTTCTTTTATGAAAACATCAGAAAGAAGCAAGGTTGAGAGCTTAGGACAATTTGGTGACCAGGCTGGTGGAACTTTTATTTTTATATGTTGAAACATATCTGAATGGAAGGAAACTGCATGGAGATCTTGTGTCCATTTGTTTGGTTCCAGTGTTACTTTTGAATTACTCCATCCTAAGCTTTTCACCAAGAATCGTGGTACATCATCTCTGCTGCTCTTTGGTTTGGAGTTTCCATGCGTGATCCTTAATGCCATGTCTCTGACCAAATCATGCATCTTCACACAGTCATCCCCCATGAAATCTTTTGCTTCTTCCAACAAGCAAACTCTTATCAGTTTTTTTAATATCGTTTGACCTTCATCAAATGCTTTTGACCATGATTCCCTTTTTGACACCAGCTCTGCCCAAATAATGAGGTCTATTAGTTCCTTTCTTTTTATTTTCCAATCTTCCGGATAAAGACAGCAATACAAGAAGCAATTCCTTTGGCATTCATTCAAGCGATTGAAACTCCATTCCAGGATGGGAAACACATCTCGTTCCATCTCATCGTGCCCTACTGAACATGCTTTCAAGTCTTCCAATGCATTTCTCCACTCACAAATGTTGCTCACACCTCTCATGCTCCCAGCCACTGTGACAATACCAAGAGGCAATCCATCACACCTTTTCGCAACGGACTTGGCAATATCTTTCAAATCTCCATCAAGCACGGTCTTGCTGCCAAGTGTACGCTCGAACAAACCCGAAGCTTCCTCTGTGTCCAAAGTTTTCAACTCAAATTTGCTATGGCATTGCATCCGGTTGCACACTTCTTCTGAGCGTGTAGTCAAAATCAGTCTGCAATTTCTTGCATCAATCCCTAAGCTGTTTAAACGAAATTCTTCCCAAACATCATCCAACATGAGCACTACCATTTCCTTCATTTTCTCGAATGCGTCATGCAACCTACGTGCCCTTACTTTTGCATCATCCACGTCTGACAGATCAAGCCCTAAGCGTTTAGCAACGTCACCTTGCAGCCTTTTGATGGTAAAATCTTGGGAGACAGAAATCCAATAAACATTGAATTGAGTATTCTCGAGGAGGTGATTATGGATGTGTTCCGCCAAAGTAGTCTTACCCACGCCACCCATCCCGTAGATCCCAATCCTTGAGATCTCATTGGTGCCCAACCATGCCGGGATTGTTTCCAGACCTTTGCGAAACATTTCTCCAAATAATTCTGTTGTCTCTCGTGGCTCACCTCTGCTCTCAGAAGCCTCAAGGCAAAGCTCACCCAAATGATCACTATCACTTTGCACCATCAGTTGCTCTACATCATCGTCCATTTTCTCCACTCTTTTCCCACTGCTAAACGCATTTTCTAGAAATCCACCCTCTTGTATGCTCGTTTTCAATGCAACGAATTCATTCTCTATTTTTGCTACCTCTTCAAACCAATTATCAACCTCTCTTTTCCTTTTCTTAGTACCTGATCTTTCTGCAACTTTCACTTTCGACTGGAAGTCAATTTTCCTATTGCATAATCTTTGCAACTTCGTTTCGAGCGACCTTAGATTATCACCCAAATTGACATACTTCCTTCCGGTGTCGAGTGCCAAATTCCCAAGTGCCTCCATTGTTAATTTTCCAGTGAGCTCCCTTACCTATCAAGTGACAAGAGAATCTCTAAAAGGTATAGTTATCAACCAAATACGTTGTTCAACTAAGGCATCATAAGAATTCAAGAATATATCAAACTTGGTCTACACGTTGCTAAATAAAGTCATAGCACAATAGGTAAGTAGGAAAAGAAAAATCTTCCTCAGTCCTGCAACTGTAAGCTCATCTATGATTCTTCCCATTGGCAAAAAAATAAAATATTTACTACAATATCTGCAGAAATATCAATGTGATATGAAGAACCATGTAAATTTCAAATCTCATCAATAAAATGTATCTCAAAACAATTACAGAATATGCGTGAAAACCCACTCTCTCAATAGATCATTGAGGTATTTTTTTTCTTTTCTATACATTTTAAAATTTTGAGTGTATCAAATTAAAAAATTTAAATGAAATAGATAACAGGAATTGTACCCTAATAAGGTGTCAGGATAATAATGTGTCAAATATATTATTTTTAAAAAGAAGAAAGAGGATGAAGAATAAGATAAAAAGTGTCTCAAAACTTGAAAGGAAGGATGTTAATACCTTCCCATTTGATAGGGAAGAAGAGCACATAAACATGTAGTCGCCCAATTAAGCATGTTAATAAATGATACTACTGTTGTGCATCAAGAAGATTATGATAAAAATTTTAACCATTTTATGCAACATTTCTGTTGTAAGACTAACACCAAGATCGTTGAGTTTGATGAACGAATTATAATTGAATCAAGATGGTGCCGAGCAAAGCCATTATAACATGGTGAAATAAGAGAAAGCTGCAAAAGTTACAAAATTCAGATGGATATGATCTCATTATACCTGAAACTGACTCGAAAACTTGAGGAAGCTGAAAACCTTGAGACTCTGCCAAGATTATGTATAATGAGTGTTGAGGAAAGGATGGTAAAAGTTGAGCTAACAGCAGAGCAGACCACCAATGGCCTTGCGGGTTCGTGATAACGGGCCCTCGTGAAGGAAGTTCCGGGTGTGTTCGAAGAAAGCTAGTGGAATTGTATTTGATCAAATACCTGGATTATCAACCAAACTGTCTTTGGCTACCTTGCAAAGAATGAGATGCAACTCTGGCTACAAGTTAGGAATGGAAACCATTACACTTACAGATATATCCAAAGAATTGCACATAGTTTTAAATCCAAAAAGCATATTGCAACTCTCTCGGGAGTTGCATCTACTTTTAAATCCAAAAAAAAATAAATCTGTTGAATACTGTACACTCTCTTCAAAGAATGTCTATTACAGTTACTAACTTAAATATCATTGGTTCCCATAGTATATATATGTGTATTTATCCTTTTGCTTGTACCATAAAATTGACACCAAAACTTGGATTTTGACTTAGGAGCTGTGCCGGAAAAAATGTAAGGATAAAAATGGCTCAAACAAATTATTTTTCTTCCCAAACATTGATCTTCTCTATACAACGGAGTACAAACAACTTTGCAACTATGATAATATTCAAAATTCTTGCCAGGAAATATCAATCTTGTAAAAAGCTTGAACAGAGCACTCCATGTTTTGAGAAGAAGAACAAGTGATCAAGGTTTACAGGCCTTAGAAAGCTAAATATAACATGATGAAGTGAGAAACAGCTACAAAAAATTTGCAAATTCAAGATTGAGTCTAAAATCATTGTACCTTGAAATCAGGATAAGTTATCTTGAAAAAGTTGAGAACTGCAAGACTCTACCAAAAGATAAGAGTTTGAATTAGATTTTGGTCTAGCTTTCACTCATACAAGGAGGATGATCATTGAGTTTTGGCGAATGAATTATAATTGAATCAAGATTTTTATGCCATGTAAAACTATTATAACATGATGAAATAAGAAACAACCCCAAACATATACAAATTCCAGATGGAAGTGATTTCACTGTATAGTGTTACATGGTTCCATCAAATGAACTACGTTCATGGGTAGAGGAGTAAACCGTCAAATAACCTATATCTACGGATAGAGAAGTAGAATTTTCATCATGAAGAAAAAACTACAAAAGCCTTCTACACCTATGAAAATCTCTTTTTGTCTAGTGTTCAAACTAAAACTAATTTAAATTCACTTTATTTATAACCACATAGGGGAAGAATTCCTTAATAAAACTTCGGAGATGTTTTACAAAGCCAGATTTTTAGTTTTCAGTCACTATTCATGCAGACATACAAATGAATGAGAACGCGATTAGAGATCAAAAGTAGATATTTACAATCCAAAAATTTATAAGCATGTGTGCCTCGATATATATGTATATGTATATGTGTGTGTGTGTGTGTGTGGTACTATCAGCGAAATTACATATATTTAGTCCTTTTCATTCTTCCGTGTAGCTTCTTAACTGGAACCATGTGGAACCATGCTAAAGTCAGTCAATGCAAAAGAGGTAAAACTAGTAAAAGTTTCTTTGAAGCTTTAAGCTCATGGAGCACAAAAAAACGCGGGCTGGCGAATCATTTTCCACTAATAAAGCTATTGAAGACATCTGATTCTTTACTTCGTCTTCCCGACTTCCCATACCAAAGCCATAGTTTGCAAATTCAATGATCGGCTATAAAGTGGAAATTGACAATACAAAATGTGCTTCTTTTCTTTTTTTGGTTCTTTCGCCGAAAGGGGTGATGGGGTAGGCAAAGGAAGGAAGAATTGGCTAAGAGGGTGATAATCTAGTTGTTTTAAATTTTTTTTTTTAAAAAAAAGGGTAAATTACATTTTACCCCCCTGTGGTTTACCCTTTTTTTAACATAACCCCCCTATGGTTTCAAAAGCTATACATAACTCACTCATGGTTTGGATTAAAGTGTCAAAGTAACGGAAATAGTCACTCGTAATGGAACTTCTAAAAATGTCGAAATTACCTTTATAAATACATGACACATTAACCCCCTATGATTTTTATATTTTACCATATAACCCCCTTATGGTTTAATACTTTACCATATAACCCTCTTATGATTTTCAAAATATACACATAACCCCCCTTGGTTAATACATAAATTTCAACCTTACATAAGGGTATTTTTGACATTTTAGGTGACGCCGTTACGAGTGACTATTTCCGTTACTTTGACACTTTAATCCAAACCATAAGAGGGTTATGTATAACTTTTGAAACTATAGGGGGGTTATGTGAAAAAACGCTAAACCATAAGAGGGTAAAGTGGAATTTGCCCAAAAAAAAAAGAAAAGAAAAGCTTTGCGTATTATGTCAAAAAAATTCAGTGTCTAATTAAGTCCAATATTTTTGTGAATTTTTCATGAAATTAAATCTGATTGCCCAGCGAACTATATTGGAAATAAGCATTTAGCCAGTAATGTTGATTCTTCAAATTCTTACGAAAGGTGTTCTGCTTCAGAAAGGAGAACCTTTTTTTTTTTTTTCCCTTTTTGCTCTAAATTTTTTGTGCTCTTGATTGATAATTTATAGCAACTAGGGGCTTTGATAACCCCATGAAATACTAAAATTTAATAAATTAAGTGTTTTTTTCTGTTAAACTTGTTTTATAACATAAGTTTGATAAACTAAGTCTCACTTAATTTTTATACAAAATTTTTTACGTGAAAGTTGTATCACTTAATTTGCTAAATTGATGAACTACTACAATATATTCACTCAAAGAATAATTATAAATTTAGCGACAAGTAATGACCTATCAATGACTAAAGTTAAGATATAAGTGTCACACGAGTTATTTAGTCTCGAAATCTAAGAGATTAAAGCTTTCAATAGTTGCCAGTACTGCACGGTGTAAAATGGAAATTTCAGACGAGCTAATGTAAAATTTAGGCAATTTCAGACGTTGGAAAGATCCTCAAAAGTCAAGGTGCGAACGAGAATGCCCAATAGGTCCGGGCAATCTCACTGCAGCTTCGTGCCCTATTGTAGATGTTCATAAGGTTGGCAGCGTTCTGACTTCATCAAGACTTCTTGCTTATGAGTGCTGCAACAGAATTTGCTAGAATTCCATATCAGTTGCAGCCGAAAAACTGGCTTTCAGCAATTATAACATGAAAACATTTGAGTAACATTTCCATCTTGCTTGATGAATCAGCTATTATAAGGGACCGTACGAATATCATGCTCCGACGGCTTGCCAGTAAGCTTAGTCCTTCTGCAAACAGAATACTCAGGGGACTTTCTAGGTGTCACTTAAACAAAGAAAACTAGGAAAAACAATAAGAAATGGACCTTGCATCCTTACGATTTGCATGATAAAATTTGATAATTTACCTAAAGCTAAGAGTATCTTAATCTCATTTTCATCCTACTCCATGATTATCAGCCTGCCCACTGGTATTCTGGATATCTCTGAAATTTCAACAGAACGTGGAGATCAAGTGAATAATAAGACATCTCGTTGCAATGCCATGGAGAGTTATATTCTCAACTGCGAGAGGAAAGGTTTATTACTAATTTGCAAGCAGTAAACTGTGCTTGCTTGCTTGGTATGAAATAACATTTCTAGCAATGTATATAGCGTGTGCCATAAAAAGCAGCAGGACTTCTCACCTCCAGGTCCGCATTTTCGCATCTCTTCATGTATATATGACCACTATAGGTCACTTTTCCGAACATTACTTATGGATGTTTTTCCTTCCCTAAATTTGTGGATCATCATGGTTTACAATCTGCTGAGAACTGATTTCCTTCAACAGTTGACTCAAAAGGTAGTAGTTTGAACAGATAGTCCAATTTTACAAAATATATCTCCCTCTAGGCTATGAACTATTTCCTTGTAAAGTTAATTTAACTATGAATGTCAATTTAGTCTTGCCTTTGATTAGTTTACCAATTATGTTCTCCAGAATCCGGTTGCCTCTCTCCAGAATTGGATTCTATTGTGGTCTCGATGACAACGTTGCAGCTTCTTGGCCTTCTGGTCCGTTTGTTTTTGCATCTTCCTGCAATGAAACTTACGCCTGTCATCTTGAGACTTCAGCGAATTGTTTGAGAAATTATCGTCTTTTTTCCTTGTTTTATTCTCCTTTCCTTTTGATTATTACTTTTCATCTCGTCAAATTTAACTTCCACTATTGCAGGTAGTATACTTCCAAAAATACCAACGGCAACATATGCTCAAATAGGTAGGAGTACTTGCTGATGTTCTATTAATAAAAAGCAAGTCATTCAATTAAGTTCACTGAAAAGACTACTTTCTTTAACAGATATTATCCTTTTTTATATGAAAGATGATCCATTGACCCTCTAAAGAACACAAAAAAAAAAAAAAGAAAAGAAAAGGATGTCCTGACATTGTGACATTTGTTTAACCATTTTCATTAGAAGAATAATTTCAGTTCTGATATGGTTACACTATCTGAAACCACATTCCTTTCTTTACCACATTGTACAGCAAGTGATATAATATTTCTTGCTCATTTATTGGTTGCATAAAATAAATTCTTTGCGGTGCGAAGACTTTGAATTCGGCTCAAATTGAAACCAATCAACATTAAGCTGGAAAATAATTAGTTATGACTGTTCCTTAATTGAAAGTTGTTAACCTCAAATTTTGCCTCTTCATAAATTGCTGGACTACAGATTAGCAACTTGATGCTTGCTTTACTGGCCATCTCAAACATACCCTGATTTTTCACAACAAAAGCCAATACCGTATCAGATGACATGTACAAGTGCATGTCTCTTGCAAGACAAAACTACATCTGATTAATTTTTTTTTTTTGGGTTTAATACATTTGTTTCTGAAAAAGGAAAAAAAAAATCATTTGCTACAAGTTTGATCTGCTCATAGAAAATTCCTGCCAAAGAAGTCAGACATAAAAGATTCAAGTCACGCAAAAAAGGGTTGATGTGAAAGCTTCTTCCGTTCATTTATTCTAAATGTAGTTATTTAACTCCAAAAGGGATTTAAATGTTATTCTGATCCTTCTTTAGCATGTAAGTACAACCTAACCCCAATCAAAAGGATTTAGCTAAAGAATTATCGGTGGAACTGGGGATATAATTGCTTGAAGTGGAAATCAGGAAGAAGCACACACACACACAGAAAGGTTTAAATTGACAGAATGAAATCACGCTCTTGGAGTATAATGTGACTTAAAAGTTTTGAATTAATAATACTTAATACCCCATCACAGTTTTGTTGATATTTAAGGAACAGCCACAAAAAACTGTATCACTGGTCCAATTATAATCAAGTACAAAAAAAACATCATCTAGCTAGGAATGGAAAACTAAACATGGAAAAAAAGCAATTGTAATACAGCTAAGGAAGAAGCATGTACTGAAAATAAGTTTGGTGCTGGTAGGCATGGCTTGAATTTACACTTCTTTTTGCAACTTCACCTTTCTTGCAGCAGCAATTTTGTGGCTATCTAGTATAGCTATCTTAACCTGAGAAATATTGACAATCAATACTTGATCAGTATAGTCAAAAACACAAAGATTGACAAACAATACTTGATCAGTATAGTCAAAAACACAAAACAAATGCATCCATGATATGAAAGCAAGTACAAATTGTAAGTTACTTTGTCAACTGTACTTCTTCCAAGTTACTATGGCTCTCAATTATATGAAACTTGGAATTTAAACATTTGCAAATGTACATATATACTTGTAGCTTTATGTCTTTGGTGTTGCAAAAATGACTTATAAATTGCTTATAAGAGACTTGTTTGAAGCTGGAAAAATGAGCTTATATCTTCATTCGTAAACACCCTATTTATAGTGTTTATAAGGAAACAAATCAACACAATTCAGCTAACAATACTTTAAAAAATTTCAACAAAAACTACTTGATAACATGATCTTTTACCTAACAAATCATAGGTATAATATTTGTTAGCAAACCAATATTTTTTTTGTTAACAAATATCCTAACAAGAATTATTCTTCTACAAACTAAATTATTTTGATATCAAACTCAATCTGATAAAATTTGTAGGGAAAACTAGCATATCTCAACACTTTATCTGGAAAGCCTCTTCAGAAAAGCAGAAAAACAAGACAACCTTTAAGAGCAGGAAATGAAAAGAAAAAGAAAAGAACATAGAGATCAGCTCATGCACAGAATAAATTAGTAATACACTGAATTCAGAAATAAACAAGAAGAAAGAAAGAGAAATAAAATAAAATATTTAAATATATACAGAAATAAGAAAAACTGTAAAAATATTAAAAAAGATGTACGTAGGAGAATATACGAATGACTATAAAAACAAGGAGGAGTGCAGTTTGTAGTTCGGCGCCATAGGAAAGTTCGTCGGCAGATGAAAAACTTGAGCCTCTCCAGAAAAAAGGGAAAAAACAAAGAACACTTGACAGCTTAAAATGAAAAAAGAAAATAACATATAGAAATTTATGATGACGTTGAACTCAAAAATAAATAATAACAAAGAAAGACAGAGGAATAAAATGCGTTAGCAATTCTGCACCTCAAATAAGTAAAAAAACTTGAGCTCAATACGGAAAGAGTTAATATCGATTCCTACACAATAGCAAATTCTATGCTAGTGGAGAAGCAGATCATTTTGGAGAAAAAAGCTCAAAGAAAGGGGATAGTTGGCAACGTTTGAGGAAGGGGAGAAAACACATACATGAGAACGAGTCAGGATTTTGAGCAAACAAATGGTCTTCAACAACTCCACCGCTGTGTGGTAAAAAATGGATCAAGAGCATTTTTGATGCAGGGATTGTCCCACTCTAACGATTCCCATCCTTCTTTATCTCCCCTGATTTTATGAAGAGTGCTAGGAACAGCTGGTAGTCTGTTGATGGTCGGAAGAAACAAAGGGAGCCTCTTCAACTTTGGACAATCAAATATTACAATCTCCTCAATTGAATCACAGATCATGGTTGCCTTGCAAATGTTTTTCAGTTGTGGCAGCCTATTCAGATCCAGCAACATTAAATTTGGAAGGATGACAGTGGAGGTGGCTTCACTTGAAGTCAATTGGATGCCTTCTCCTCCTCCTTGTTCTATACCATTGTCATTTGCTGCTACCTCCGCCAGTCCTTTGCAATCGTCGACAGAAAATACTCTTAGACTTTCAAAATTCCGCAGCAGCTGCACTGTGAATAGTTGTTTCACGTTGTGACATTTGTAAATCGACAAACGCCTCAGGGAAGAAAAGGTGCCGGGTGGAAGCAAATATGCTTCTGATTCCCCAAAAAAGAGACCCACTAGATCCGGCAAATTCCAGAGTATCAGCTCTTGCAGATATCTCAGTGGACTGAAAGACGAGTCTATCAATTGATCACGTGGAGCAGGAGAGGAAAATTGCAAGAGGAATTCTATTCCATCCAAACCACTAATCTTCAAAGAAGACAAGTCCTTTAAACTTGTAAAGTTCTTAAAAACATCTGACAAGCACCTAATGCCCATGCCGACACATCCCTTGAGTTCTAGACATTTCATATCACTTGGCAGCAGTAGCACGGGATAGTTTGACCCTTTACCGAACTTACACTGATGGAAATACAATCGTTTACGATACCTAATATCATCGACCAAGGGAATGTAGTTATGAAAAGATGAGAAGTCATCATTGATATAAAGATAATAGTATTCTGGCCACTCAGAGATTTTATAGAAGTCCGTAAAACATAAACATCCTATAAAAGTTTTTAATTGGTTCAACACTTCTGGATCATTAACTTGTACAGTACCATAGGGCGGCAATACTAGCCGCTGAAGACGGTGCAATTTGGAAAATGTCCCTATTGGTATTATCTTTCCTGTGAAAGATCGGCAATGGTCCAAGTTAAGCCTTTCGAGTTTGACTAACGACTCCAAACCTTGAGGTAAATCCTGAATCTTAGTCCTGGATAGGTCCAATTCCCTCAATTGCTTGAGCATTCCTAGTGGTGGCACAGATCGGAGCTCTTCACAATGCCCCAAAATCAAAGCAGCAAGATTCACCATGTTTGAAATAGAATTAGGTAACTCTGTTATACCTATGCACCCATTTAGATTCAAAACTTTAAGTCCACGCATGTGCTGAATAAATGAATCTGGAATTCTTTTTATGGAAAAATGAGGAATAAGCAAGGTTGATGTCATGAAGTATGAGGGAAATACAGAAGTCGTGATCTAGAATAAAGGAAAGGCGTGTTCCAGCTTGAAGAAGGAGGAAGGCGCGTTCCAGTTTGTGTGAAAGGCGCAGCTGCTCAACTTGAAGAAGAAAGGCGTGACTTACAAATCACGCCTTCTACCTGAAGTAACAGAATTATGCTTCTGTTTTTGCGCAAGTGGAGTTGATGATTCCAGAACTTCCACGTGGCCTCACCTGATTAGCTAGTTTAGAAGTTAGTTAGTCTGGAAATGCCATAAATGGCTGAAGAATCCGAGAGTTAGAGTAGATTTTTGGTCATATTATTTCCATTGATTGTAACAGAAATTGGCTCTACCAATTTCCCTCTCTTTTCTATTTCAATTCCTTCAATCTTTCCTTTTCGATTCTAAATCCGTTGATTCTGTCTCTGTAATTGATCTACCTATTGTCATTTAGAAATTGAAGTTCCAATATTCATTATCATTTCCTGTTCCATTCAGTATTGTCAAGGGTTAATTCACTTCTGCTGCAAGGAAATCTGTCACCATTGCTGCATATTGGTCCAATACCATAACAGTGGTATCAGAGCTTAGCTACGAGCCATTGGGATGACAAAATCTCAGGAGGAGGTGTTAAAGAAGGATATCTCTGAGCTAGGCAGTGTGGTCAAATGTTGGGGCATAGACAAGAAAGCACAGAAAGAACTCTTAAAAATCTAGACCAAAAATATGAGAGTATGATGGCTATGATGGCTCAGATGATGGCAAAATTTAATGACAGGGACAAGGAGGCAGAAAGCAGTAACTCCATCGAGGGACCTAGCAAGATAGCAACACAGGAAGAAGGCTGTGGCAGATCAGAGTGGAGAGAAACTAGATCCTACACCAGAATGCCTAAAGTGGAGTTACCTAACTTCACAGGAGACAATCCCAGGGAATGGATCCGTAAGGCTAACAAGTTCTTCAAGATCAATGGAGTGGAGGAGAACTTGAAATCTGAGATTACTGAGCTATACCTGAGGGACAGAGCTGATACCTGGTTCCATGGAGTATTCAGTGGCAGGGGAACCATTCCATTGACAGAACTGGCTACTGCTTTGTGTAAAAGGTTTGGGGAGGGTACACCGGAGGAAGCTATTGAAGAATTCAACAAACTTAGGCAGGAAGGATCCATAGCAGACTACCTGGAAAAGTTCGAGCTACTCAAAGCACTGGTAATGCCTTCCCTCCCTCATTTGGCTGATTCCTACTATAAAGCATGTTTCCTAAGTGGTTTAAAGGAAGAAATAGTCAATATGGTTAAAATGGCCAAACCTACAACCCTGTCAGATGCAATAGAAGCAGCCAAGCTACAAGAAAAGAACCTGAAGGCTATGCAAAAGTTTCACAAACCCCTACCTAACAGCCCCCAGACACACAGAACCCCTTTCCACCCACAGAACCATAACAAATGGAACCCCACCCCATCCAGATCCTCAGATAAAACACCCACAGACACCTACAGAACCCCAAACAACAACACTAACCAGTTCAAAAGGATCACCCCTAGTGAGTTCAATCTTAGGAGGGAGAAAGGACTATGTTATAAATGTGCTGAACCATACACACTTGGCCATACATGTAAACAATCCCACATCCATCTTCTGCTAGTACATGATGACAATGAGAAACAGATAGCCAGTGAGGAAGGAAAGGAGACTGAACCTGAAGTTTTCTGCGATTGCATTGAAGGCAAAATTGGGGATGAACATATGGAAATCTCCATCAATGCTCTAGCGGGAGGTAGTGAGCACAAAACTATTAAATTGAAAGGGTTAGTAAAAGGGAGAACTATCACTGCACTTATTGACAGTGGTAGCACTCACTGATTTCTGGATGCACAACTGGCTAGCAACCTGAAACTGGTTAGTAGTGGTCCACCCCTAGTTGTTAAGGTAGCTAATGGGGAAAAGGTACAGTCCAACAGCCTAGCTAAACCTATAGTGTGGAAGATGCAAGGCTATGAATTACAGCACCAGTTCAATACACTGAAGCTAGAAGGATGTGATATGGTGCTGGGAGTAGACTGGCTGGCCAGATTCAGTCCTATGGAGTTTGACTTCAAGGGGCTTAGTGTGAAGTTCAAAAAAGGGAAACAGCAGGTGGAACTGAAAGGGGAGAGGGATCAGGTGCAGCTAAGGTTGATCAAAGGGAGTCGACTGCACAAGTGGGCCAGGAAACAGGCCTATGGAATTATGGCTCAGCTCAGTGCAGTCCAGGAAGAGGAACATGCCAATGCTACTACACCCCCAGAGATGGAGGAGGTACTGCAGGATTTTGAGGAGGTATTCAAAGAACCTCAAGGGTTGCCCCCTGAGAGGGGTCATGATCATTCCATTACCCTTAAAGAGGGGTCCAAACCTTTCCAGATCAGACCATACAGGTGTCCCTATGTTCAAAAGACTGAGATTGAGAAGTTGGTGCAGGAAATGTTGGGAAATGGTATCATTCAGCACAGTAACAGCCCCTTTGCATCCCCTGTACTTCTGGTAAAAAAGAAGGATGGCACCTGGAGATTCTGTGTCGATTATAGGCAGTTAAATGAACTGACAGTCAAAAACAAATACCCTATACCCCTTATTGACGAACTTTTGGATGAGTTGACAGGATCCAAATACTTCACCAAGATAGATTTGAGGGCAGGCTATTTCCAGATCAGAGTAAAGGCAGCAGACATTCCCAAGACAGCATTTAGAACTCACCAGGGGCTCTACGAGTTCAAGGCGATGCCATTTGGGCTCACCAATGCCCCTGCCACTTTCCAAAGTCTGATGAACCATGTATTTCAAAAACAGTTAAGGAAATTTGTGCTGGTATTTTTTGATGACATCTTGATATATAGCTCAAGTTTGCAGGAACATTTGAAGCATGTCACAGTAGTGCTGAACATCCTCAGAGAACACTAGCTATATGCCAAAAGGAGCAAATGTGCCTTTGGCCAAACACAGGTGGAGTACCTGGGACACATCATCTCTGCTGAAGGAGTAAAAGCTGACCCTGAGAAAATTGAAGGTATGGTGAAGTGGCCTAAACCAGCAAATGTGAAACAACTGAGAGAGTTCCTAGACCTAACAGGGTACTATAGGAGATTTGTTAAGGGTTATTGTAGTATAGCCAGACCATTGACTGCACTATTGAAGAAAGACAGCTTCCAATGGGGACCAGAAGCAGAGGAGGCATTTCAGAAGCTCAAAGGGGCCATGTGTGACACACCTGTCCTGGCTCTACCTGACTTCAGCCAACCCTTTGTAGTAGAAACTAATGCCTGTTACAATGGGATAGGGGCAGTATTAATGCAGAATAGGAGACCTTTAGCCTATATCAGTCAAGGATTAGGGTCAAGGAATATGGGGCTATCTATCTATGAGAAGGAACTACTGGCACTGGTTACAGCAGTTACTAAATGGAGGCACTACCTGGAGGGCCAGCACTTCATCATCAACACTGATCAACAGAGCCTAAAGTACCTATTGGAGCAAAGAATCACCACTCCCTTGCAGCAGAAGTGGTTGACCAAGCTCATGGGGATGAGTTATGAGATCCACTACAAGAAAGGTAAGGAGAATGTGGTAGCAGATGGCCTTTCCAGGAGGGGGGATCCAGGCTTGGAGTGCACTGCAATAACTACCATAGTATCGGAATGGATCAAGGAGGTGATTAGTAGCTACCAAGGAGATGACTGGGCACAGAATATCATCAGGGAAGTTTTACTAAAACCAGACCTGATTGCCAACCACAGCTATCAGAATGGTATACTGAAGTTTAAAGGAAGGGTAGTAGTGGGATCAGGAGGGGAGATAAGGAAAAAGCTGATCCACACCTTACATGACTCCCAATTAGGGGGACATTCTGGGATTCAGGCCAGTTTCATGAGAGCCAAGCAGTTGTTCTATTGGCCAGGCATGCACAGAGACATCAAGACAGCAATCCTGGAATGTGATGTCTGCAGGAAGTGTAAGGACGAGCATGTATCCTATCCAGGGCTCCTACAACCCCTGCCAATTCCACAGTACCCCTGGAGCCACATCACTATGGATTTCATTGAAGGATTACCTAACTCTGAAGGAAAGGATACCATCATGGTAGTAGTGGACAGATACACTAAATATGCTCACTTTCTAAGCACCTCACATCCTTATGATGCCCCAAGGATCGCCAGGATTTTTCTAGATGGAGTGGTCAAGTTGCATGGAATACCCCAGAGTATGCTATCAGACAGAGATAGGGTCTTCACCAGTCAGTTCTGGGGAGAACTGTTTACATTCCTGGGAGCTACACTGGACCACAGTACCGCCTACCATCCATAGTCTGATGGCCAGACTGAAAGGGTCAATCAGGTACTGGAAATGTACCTCAGGTGTTTTTCACATTTGGAACCAAAGAAGTGGAACCATTGGCTGACTATGGCTGAGTGGTGGTACAACACCAGCTACCACACAGCCATCCAAATGACCCCTTTTGAGGCTCTATATGGACAGGCACCCCCCAATTGGCTATACGGCCATATACTCAGGCCAAGGTAGCTGTTGTTGGGGACTACTTGAGGGAGAGACACAAGGTTGACCTCATACTGCAGCAGAACCTAAAGCTAGCTCAGGAGAGGATGAAAAAGTACGCAGACGAAAGCAGGAGTGAAAGAAGGTTTGATATAGGTGATTGCGTGTACCTGAGGTTACAGGCTTACAGGCAAAGTTCAGTAGCCATGCGAGGTAACACTAAGTTATCAGCACGTTACTATGGGCCATATGAAGTAATAGGAAGGATGGGGGAGGTTGCATACAAGCTCAGATTACCAGCAGATTCCAAGATTCACCCTGTTTTCCATGTCTCTCTGCTGAAGAAGAAGGTTGGGGACCAGACCACACCTGTCTTACAACTACCGGAAACAGATGGGAGGGGGTACTTAAGAATCGAACCAGTTGCAGTGCTAGAACGAAGAACAGTCAAGAGAAAGAATGCAGCTGCTGTCCAATGGCTGGTACATTGGTGGGGAACAGATCCAGCAGAGGCAACATGGGAATTTGCAGACGAAATTAGGAGGCAATTCCCTCATTTCCAATCTTGAGGACAAGATTCTTTAAAGGGGGAGGCTTTGTCATGGAGTATGAGGGAAATACAGAAGTCGTGATCTAGAATAAAGGAAAGGCGTGTTCCAGCTTGAAGAAGGAGGAAGGCGCGTTCCAGTTTGTGTGAAAGGCACAGCTGCTCAACTTGAAGAAGAAAGGCGTGACTTACAAATCACGCCTTCTACCTGAAGTAACAGAATTATGCTTCTGTTTTTGCGCAAGTGGAGCTGATGATTCCAGAACTTCCACGTGGCCTCACCTGATTAGCTAGTTTAGAAGTTAGTTAGTCTGGAAATGCCATAAATGGCTGAAGAATCCGAGAGTTAGAGTAGATTTTTGGTCATATTATTTCCATTGATTGTAATAGAAATTGGCTCTGCCAATTTCCCTCTCTTTTCTATTTCAATTCCTTCAATCTTTCCTTTTCGATTCTAAATCCGTTGATTCTGTCTCTGTAATTGATCTACCTATTGTCATTCAGAAATTGAAGTTCCAATATTCATTATCATTTCCTGTTCCATTCAGTATTGTCAAGGGTTAATTCACTTCTGCTGCAAGGAAATCTGTCACCATTGCTGCATATTGGTCCAATACCATAACAGTTGAGAGCTTAGGACAATTTGGCAACCAGACTGGTGGAACTTTTATTTTTGTATGATGATAAAGTGTGTGAAAGGAGACTGCATGGAGAACTTCTGCCCATTTTTTTTGTTCCAATGTTACTTTTGAATCTCTCCATCCTAAACTTTTCACCAAAAATCTTGGTACATCTCTGCTCATCTTTAGTTTGGAGTTTCCATTCGTGATCCTTAACGCCATATCTCTGACCAAATCATGCATCTTCACGCAGTCATCATTTTCTAAATCTGTTGTTTCTTCTAGCAAGCAAACTTTTATCAATTTGTTTAATATCGTGTGACCTTGATCAAATGCTTCTAACCTTGACCTTGAGTTCTGTTTGTCCATCAGCTTTGCCCAAATAAAGAGGTCTATTAGTTCCATTCTTTTTATTTTACAATCTTCCGGATAAAGAGAGCAATACAAGAAGCAATTCATTTGACATTCATTCAAGCGGTTGAAACTCCATTCCAGGATGGGAAACACATCTCGTTCCATCTCATCATGCCCTACTGAGCATTTTTCCAATTGTTCCAATGCATTTCGCCACTCACAGATATCGCTCCCACCTCTCAAGCTTCCAGCCACTGTGATAATACCAAGAGGCAAACCCGCACACCTTTTCATGATGGACTTGGCAATTTCTTCCACATCTTCATGAAGCACCGTCTTAGTGTCAAGTGTATGTTTGAACAAATCCCAAGCTTCATCTATAGCCAAAGTTTTAGCTTCAAATACCCTTTGACAGCTAATCTTGTTGCATAATTCTAGTGATCGAGTAGTCAAGATCACTCTGCATTTGTTTGCACCAAGAGGAATTCCAATCTTTTCAAAAGAAAATTCTTGCCAAACATCATCAAGTATGAGGACAGACTGCTTCACCAATTCCCTAGACAAAATGGCTGCTCTGCCATCCTCATCATCCTCGTAAGACAGATCAAGCCTTAGGCGTTTAGCAATGTCATCTTGCAGCCTTCTGATGTTGAATTCTTGAGAGACAGTAATCCAATAAACCTTGAATTGAGTTCTCTCAAGGAGATGATTATGGATGTGTTTCGCGAATGTAGTCTTACCCAAACCGCCCATCCCATAAATCCCAATGTTTGAGATGCTATCGATGACCAACCACGCCCAAATTGCTTTCAAACCTCTGTCAAACATTTCTCCAAATAATTTCGTTGTCACTCGTGGCTCACCTCTGCTCTCAAAAGCCTCAAGCAAAAGCCCATCAAAATGCTTACTTTGCTCAATAAGTTCTTCTACAATTGCATCCATTTTCGCCACTCTATCCCCACTGCTTATTGCATTTTCTAGGAATCCACCTTCTTGTATACTCTTTTTTAGTGTACCAAATTCGATTTCTACTGTTGCTACCTCCTCAAACCAAATCTCAACCTCCCTTTTCCTTTTCTTGGTACCTGACCTTTCTGCATTTGTCACCTGCAACTCGAAGTCAGATTTTTTGCCGCCTAATCTTTGCAACTTCCTTTCGAGCGACCTTAGATTATCATCCAAATTAACATACCTCCTTTCCCTATCTAATGCCAAATTCCCAAGTGCCTCCATCGCTAATTTCGAGTGAACTCCCTTACCTATGAAGTCACAAGAGAATATCTAAAAAGTATAGTTATCAACCAATAACGTTGTTCAACAAAGGCAGCATAAGAATCGTGATCTTCCTCAGGCAAATTTTAAAACAGGGTATTTCCAAACTTAAATTGAATTGAACCCGATTAGTAAACTAAACAAATAGCCGTTTAATGTTAGATTCTACATAATGGTATTCTCAACTTTTAACCAAAGTTTAAATGATGCAAAGGAATTAATAGAACTTTTTCAATGTTAAAATGAAAAGATTTTTTTTTTGTCATATTCAACTATTTATCAAATACAAGTTCTATAATGTCATGGCTTTCTTGCGCTGAATGAAATGTTCATGAAGTATACATGATGTTACTAAGTAGAAATATTCCTGCAAACAGTAAATTTTTTGGATACAAGTATCTCTTCTCACTAAAACGATTTTCCTTTTTCTTATTTGACGCAAATGATATCTTTTTTTTTATTTTGATAAATAAATGTATGTCGAATTACTCACCACTCATTGCGTCTCATTCCACAAACAGCAACAGTCCAAACGACAAAATAGTCCAATTAAAGACCTCATTGAATTCAAGAATATATCAAACTTCATCTGCACGTTGCTTAATAAAGTTCAAAACACAATAGGTAAGTAGGAAAAGAAAAATCTTCTTCGTTCAATCCAATGTTTATGCAACTGTAAGCAAAAGTAAAATAGTTACTACAAGGTCTGGAGAAATATCAAGCCTCTTACCACTGTCTCACCAGTATGTCAAACAAATTTTAGCTAATTTGACAAATCTACTTTTCCTATTAATACTAGAGGGAAGCCCCACGCGAAGCATGGGGATTGATACCTGTGGTGTGATCAAATAACTTAACAGTATTTGATAACTTGATATCAAGTGGAACACACTTATATATTCCTTAAACTTTCTATTGTCATAATTAGCATTACATTTTTCTGGTGCTTGGCTAGATTCTTTTATTGAGCAATAACGGCACGGTTCCTATTTTCCTTTTCAATGTCTAATACAAATGGAAACTCATGGTGTTATCATATGTATCATTTTCCCCTGAGTTTAATCTTTCAAACAAAATTAGGTTGTTCAATCAGGAACACTCACCATTGTTTTGTTTAGTAGTTTTAACAAAATGAACATGAATTTTTAATGCTTTACGCTTATTTTCTGTTGTTCCAATCGTACTTTATCTTTTCTTCTACCGATAACAATACATATCTTTTTCTTGCCTTTTGATTCCCAAATTACTTTTTAGCATTAAGTTTTCCAATATTGTTTGTTTGATCCATCCTAAATTTCAACCCACAAGCCCTAAACTTAAACATAGAAAATTTATATATAGCATTTGTTTGTTTGACTACTACAACTAAGAACCATTATTTCAATCAATACATGCATCTACAAATAATTAGAGAGGAAATTAATTTTCCTCATTACAAACACTAACTTGTATCACCAGGTCTACGAAAGTCAATACAAAAATAACAAAGCATGTAAATATAGCTATTTATCTATTCAAATGGCAATTTCTATCCACACACAACAACTCAGTCACTTAACTATTGAACCAATAAATTGCATCGACTACAAGATAATTTTCAAAGTGGAACAATCATTCACACACTTGTTCATTTAAGTACATGATTCAAATGGATCAAGTATAATTGTAATCATATTTAATCAATAAATGGCATGCATCAAGTGGGAATATAGAGTTACCTTGTACCTTCAGTAGTAAAGTGCAATCTAAGAGCAAAATCTCTCCACACTTCGTCTGCATGCAATAGCAAGCACAAAAACTTATTCAGGATTTTGTAGAATGGAAGCTATGCAACTCATAGACCAAAAAGCAAGAGCAAAATTGAGCATACCTCTACAAACCCAACTTTGGTATTGTGCAAACCTTCTTAATCCACAATTTTGTACCTTAACAATAGCCATTATTGTTACCTACGTTACAAATTGATGACCAAATGTTGAAGAAAATGGGAGGTCCTGCGTTACTCTTGTAACATTTATTCCAAATGATTCTTTACCTCTCACACTTTAATGGCCTCATCAATGTGCTACAATTACTAATTCAAATAAGTGCCATTTGTTGCAAGAGTTGAATTAATGGTTCTTGAGCTTGAATGATGAAGAAGATGAAACTTTCTATAGTTACAATTCAAGCATTCATTTTTAGCCTTACTGCACCAATATTATCTTAAATGCATTTAATTTGCATAATCAATTCAGCTAAACATACTTGAGGGGAGTTAATTTCGCTTTTCTACCCACTTTGCTAAATCAATGGCAAAGTAGCCAAACCATTAGCCACTAAAGGGTACAGTAGGTAAACCATGCAAAATTAGGCAACAGAAACTTGTGCATTTTGCTTAATCAATACTGTTATATTTTTACCATTACCAAAACGTCCCTACAAATGTTAGATGAAAATCACCCAAGAGTCATACAACAACTCCTTTATATATATATATATATATATATATAAAAATATATAGGATATCTCCATTTCATTTTGCCCTCAAAAAAGTTTTTAAACTCAATATTTTGCTCTTTTTAGGGATCTATATATATGAATTAATAGAATATAACACCATGGTAAGCTGTGGAACTTATCAAGCTATTTCAAACATTAATCTTCTTGGAAGAATTGATAACAAACAATTTTGCAACTATGATATTTGGCCTTCATTTTTAGAATCCAAAAAAATATACAATTTAAGCATTATTATTAGCAAAACATGGGACATCACAAATTTAGCGCCAATCTAGGCATAATTATGTGTTTTGACAAAAAATAACTTAGACCCTTTTTTTACATTCTAAACACAAAAAAGAAAACTTATAGCATCACAATTAACAAAACTGAGACTACATATTTGGCGCCAATTTAGGTGCTTGAAGGTCTACTTTTTTTTATTGTTATATATGTAACATAAAGATGAAATTTGGATATCTCCTTAAGTTGTCGTGAGCTATCATCTAGAGCTCACAAGAGCTTGGAAAGAGTGAAAAAGTTTGAAATTGTTCTTTTCTGATTCAATGGCTTTGTGCATTGCAATTATGGTAAAAAATGTGAATTTTTTTCTTTTGTAAATATGCCCGTACACACCTTGAAGTAAAATAATTTTGTGGGTTAAAAGCCTTTCCGCCCAGAATACATTTCTACGTACCCATAATATTAGGGAAAAAATTATTGTTCTGGAGCTTGGTAGACAAGTTTTGGATGTTTGGCAGCCTTCAAAAATGACTCTTTGGCCTTTAAACTCGCTTCAGCTACCTTTCTTGAGTGGGGGGAATCGATTTATTCGTGAATAATAGAGGTGGCAAAATGGACGGGATGGGCGGAATTTGCTTGAATTTGAAATGGAACCGAGTCATATGGGTTTGGATCCAACTTTATCTATATGTGTTTTGGGACTTACTTGGGCAGGATCACTTTGGAATGAGTTTAGATTGATCCCGCCCAATACCCAAATCTATTTTCTACATATTTTTTCCCTTTAATTCATTTTTTATTTTTTATATAATTTTAATATTTTTGATTTATTAAATTTCTTTTAGTTTTATTAAATAAACATGCAAGTGCTTTATAGTCAAGATTCCCACCAAAAATTGGATTAACAAATAAATGAAAAGATAGATATACAGCCATATTCCAACATATATTAAGATGGCCAAGGTACTTAGAGTGTTGAATATTTATCCTCATCATTGTCCAAGGATGACAGGTCTAAACTGACTGAAATGCTCGAAATTCTTGTGGATAATGACTAGGAAGACTATTAGATTATATTCGCTGGTATGACTATAAAAATTGTTAAAGATAATTTTTGAATCTAAGACTCTGTTTGGATTGGCTATTTTTTCAAAAAATAAGTTTTTCAAATACAATATTACAGTAATATACAATAACTCAAAAAACATTCCATCCATATTAGTATATCAAATATTTCAAAAAAATTTTATAGTAAAAATTTTTCATATACACTACTACAATAAAATATTTCAACAACACCCACCAAAAACAGCTAATCCAAACGCAGCCCTTGCTATTTGAGTCCAATGGGTACTCAAGTATTTTCCAAAATTTCCCATCAATTAATGGGTACAATTGAGATTTGTCTCATTTTAAACCCAATATCAAATTCAAGTACCCATCCCGCCCAAAGTCCCCATGGGCATGGGTAACCCATTGGAACTTGGGACAAATTGCCACCTCTACTGAATAAGCATTTTTCGGGATTTAGATGTCAAAACGGAATATACTAAATACAAATTTGATTTAATTGCCCTAAATTAGTTGGTAGGATATAATATGTGTTATTGCTTTTATTTTATTTATCTATAATTGTGTCTGTCTATTTACATGAAATTTTTGTTATTTTTACTTTAAAAATAAATGAGAATTGATATAAAAAATTCTTCAATTGTAATACTCGATTCATTCTAATATTAGATTTTTAAGTTTGCATTCACTAGCAATATAATTATCAACATAAAATAAAAATTACATGAAGTTAAGCAATTATAATTTATTTTTAATCTATTTTCAATTTTGATGTGAGATTGGAAAAAAAAATTCTTGCACAATTGTTTGAAAGTCAAGGAAGAATGTATCTTAAAACATTAGTTTTCTAGTATAAAAGAAAAAAACTTATTCTAAATACAAGTAAAATTAATTATTAAAAAAATTACATTCAAATATTAATTGAGTTCATAAGATATCATAATGCATTCGAGGATAAAGATTTATAAGGATACATTTGATATCTTGTTATTTAAGCATTCTAGGATGATAGTGGAAAAGCTTTACCAAAACTTTTTTTTTTTTTGAGGAATGAGATTCCAAAAAAACAGAGTATTAGCATTCTAGGGGAAAGAACTTTTCCACTTAAATGAACCGTATCAAATATTGGAATGGAGTGAATAAATTGGAAAGGTCTTTCCTTTCTA